TGTGACTGGTGAGTGAGGGCCCTCGGTCTTAGGTCTCAGGAAAGGTCTCACAGTACAGCCTCTTGAGTCTCCTTCACTGAAGACCCAGGACTCTAAAACCCCCCAAACCTCTAACCCACTCCTCATCCACTCAACACCTCAGGACAGGTGTGATCTGAGGGCAGGAAGAGTGAGGCCCAGGAAAGTGCTTTGCCCATTTGAGAGAGGCTGCTGAGGACTGAGGCCTCCAAGGCAGTCACTCACTGATCAATTTGTGGCTCTCTGCTTTGCCTGGGAACTCTGAAAAGAACTCTTTTGGGGAGATGGGACAAATGCCATGAAAGATTAATTCTCAACAAGTATTTATTATATAAAATTTCAAGCGTATACCCAAAGGGAAAATAGAATGTCCTATGTATTCACCACCCTGCTGCAATCAAAGATCAACCCCCAGCCAGTCTGGCTCGCCCAGACCCCACTCCCTTCCTGCCCTCCCCAACGAAAATGTCTTCTTTATTAACAGCTTTGTTGAGGTGTAATTTACATACCTTAAAATTCACCTGTTTTCAGTATACAGTTTATAAGTTTTAGTGTATTTACAGAGTTGTGCAACTGTCATCACTACCTAGTTGTAGGACTTTTCTGCCACATCAAGAAGAAGCCTGATCTCCAGACCCATGCCCAGGCCCAGGCCCCACTAATCTACTTTCTGTCTCTGTAGATTTGCCTTTGCTGGACTTAACATAGAAATGGAATCACACAGTATGTGTTCTTTTGCGTCCGGCTTCTTTTATGGAGCATATTTTTGAGGTTGATCCGTGTTGTAGCGTGTAGCAGTCCTTCATTCCTTTATAGCCAAATAGCATTCTGTTGTGTGGCTATATTGCTGCAATACTTTTAAACTTATTGTATACACTCTATATCTCATCATTACATATTTAAGTGTCCTGCTTTTTTCAAAAAGACTACTTAAAAATAACCACAATACAATGATTGTACCTTTAAAAAGGAACAATCATTCCCTAAGATCCCCAGATGTCTAGGTAGTGCTAGATTGTGTCATAATTGTTGTTTTGCAATTAGTGGCTGGATTCAGGTCCAATTGGGAGAACTGGGATTGTAAATAGTGTGGTCAGGGAAGGCCCCAAAGACAAGGTGACATTTGAACAAAGACTTAAGGAGATGTGAACTTGAGCCATGCAGACATGTGGGGAAAGAAGAGTCAGGCAGAGGAAACAGCAAAAAGGCCTTGAGTCCAGGGCTGGGACATCTGATGGACCCTAAAGAGGCCACAAAGAGATTTTGATGACCATAAGTGGAAGCGGATCTTAAGTTAGGCCCACAGAGCTGGCCCACTTTCTGGCCTGAATCCAGGAGAGCAGGGTCTCAATATTTTCTTCCAGCAGGAACGATTCTGTTTGCATCTCTTCCCAGCCCCTGAAGAGGAGCCCCCTGCCAGCCCCCCTTTGAAGCCATACCTGGGGGACCTGACTGTGACAGATGCCACCCCTGACTCCCTGAGCCTCTCCTGGACCGTCCCCGAGGGCCAGTTTGACCACTTCCTGGTCCAGTACAAGAATGGGGATGGGCAGCCCAAGGCGGTGCGAGTGCCAGGGCACCAGGACGGGGTCACCGTCTCAGGCCTTGAGCCAGACCACAAGTACAAAATGAACCTGTATGGCTTCCACGAAGGCCAGCGCCTGGGCCCCGTCTCCACTATTGGTTTAACTGGTGAGTGTGCAGTGGAACACTGGGCCTGCCCTGAGCTGGACTCAGTTTCCCTTTTATTGCTAGTACTGAGGTGTTTTTGTCCCACTCTTCTTCAGACTGAGCCTCCCAATATCCTGGGGGCAGTCCTGCTTGTGTCTTCACTCTGAGCCTTTGGTGTCATCTTAGCCGTCTCATCCTTCACGTGTGGACTTTTTGGGTCCTTGAAGAGGCAGGGCGCGAGGGAAATAACACAGACTGAGGCAGACCTGGGGCTGACCCTAGCCTCAGCTCATTAGAGCTGCGTGACCTCGAGAGAGTCACTCAGCCTCTCTGTGCCTCCCTTTCCTCATCCAGACAGAAGAAATGGACCACACCTGTCTTGCAGGGTGGGCATGAATGTGGCTTGGTTCACATACAATGTTCAGTGACAACAGTCTTCCCCTTCCAAGAATGAAAATTAGTTCCTGAAAACTCTTGGGATGAATTCTCATAATTATTATTGATTTCAGTGGGTAAACTTATATTGGTTCCCCAATCCCCAAACTGATACCCATATATGCTATATCAACCTGGAATCCAGCTGACATCGATACTATTAATTCAGTAGTTACTATTAGTCATATGTGCAGTTTAACAAGGTGTTTTCTCTTCATTAATTAGTCCCTAATGTGGCTGTTGGTTGCTTATGTTAAGCTCTTTTGTAGCTGTTACCCGCTAGATGCTTAAACCCTGGTTCCCAAGCACAGCAGAGATATGAAACAAGATGATTTTGTAATTCAGCTATTAAGGCAGAATAAAGCCGTCTGCTGAACAGAAAAGAGGAAAGAAATCTGGGGGTGTGATGAGTTGTCTCTGCCATAAGTTAGCAAAAGAATTAATACAAGATCCAAAAACAACCCAACTGAAAAAAAAGATGATCTCAAGTGATCTCATCTCTTTCCCTCAACTGAGAAATCTAAATTAGTTCCTCAAATGCTCAGAAAAGCCTTCTAAACCAGAGGAGATATTAAAGGAAAATACTCATGAAGTGGAATTCCTGAACGTGAGCATATGCACCACCTGATGTGACCTGTCTGTTAGGCATAGTGCTGTTAAAAGCATTAGTCTTGTCCTGCTAAATGAATTTGCTCAATGGCTCCTAAAAGTTTTGTGCTGCACGCATTCAGCTACCATCGTGATGTCTCCACAAGTTTGTGTTCTGTGCCCTAGAAACCGAAAGTTCAAACCAGGGAAATGATGTCTAAACCCTGGGGCACTGGCATCCAGCATGCAGGGCCCTAGTATGTCGGGAGAAATCCCAGAATCCATCCCCTGTTAGGATGGCAAAGCATGTCCACCCATCTATTTGTCTCCTGATGTAGCCCCAGGAAAGGACCTAGAAATGACCCCAGCCCCAACAGACCTACCCACCGAGCCTCCCATCAAGCCGCGCCTGGGGGAGCTGGCAGTGACAGACGCCAGCCCAGACTCCCTGAGCCTCTCATGGACCGTCCCCGAGGGCCAGTTTGACCACTTCCTGGTCCAGTACAAGAACGGAGATGGGCAGCCCAAGGCGGTGCGGGTGCCAGGGCACGAGGACGGGGTCACCGTCTCGGGCCTGGAGCCGAACCACAAGTACAAGATGAACCTATACGGCTTCCACGACGGCCAGCGCCTGGGCCCTGTCTCTGTCATCGGGGTGACAAGTGAGTGGACGGTGGAAGCCCCAGGGTGGGACCTAGTGGGAGGACCACCCTCTCTCAGGTGGAGGGTGAGTGGGGTGAGGAGGCCTCTCTGCTCGAGGCTGAGCCATGGTGCCCTTTGTGCCCCCGACCCCGCTCCCTGAGGACCAGCGGATCGTCCTGGGCAGAGAAGGACCTCTGTGAGCTGTG